GGCCCCTCATACACCATCTCTACAACCTTTGACCTTTCTGTGTTTATCTCTATCAGAGCTCCCTCTTGGGTCGCCTCAGAGCTGCAGCTTGCAAACAGATTTTCCTGAATTTCTGAGTCAGATTTTTTAATCAGTTATTTAGTTAAAAATTAGAAGTTGTATCAACTCAATTTAAAATATTTGATTGTTTATGTGTGAATAAAATAACAGAGTAATTATTAGTCAGCAGAAAGACAGCTGCTCACTGGAAGCACCGGTTTATTGGAGGCTTTTCTCTCACAGAGCCGATCTGAGGCCGTAAAGATGTGCAATAAATGAGGCAGAATGATTTCTGCTCCTTCTGCGCCTCCTTTCTGCTCCTCTGATTGCTCAACTATTCAGCCTGGAAAATATTGAATAAAAACTAATTGATTTTCTGGAATAACTTGATGAGGAAAAATGCCCAATAGTGGTCGTGAAGAGCCAAAGACGCGCCCCCCCCCAGAGCACCGAGGCGAGCGCCAGGGGACCCAAAGCCCCAGACGCCCAAAGGGGCCCCAAGAGCCAAGGAGCCCAGGAGGAGCCGACCCAAGAAACCCCACCCCCACCAAGGGAGGAGGAGAGATGACCCCGAGGAAATCGCTCAGCCACCAGAATGCCAAAGCCCCCAGGAGTCTGCAGGCTCCGCCGTCTGCCAGCCACCCCGAAGTGGAACCGGCCATGGGCCCCGGGGTCCTGAGGGCCAACTATTCCTTTTAACGACCCCCCCTTTCAGAGACGTAAACTGTAAAGTGCCTTGTGTTGTGAATTGGCGCTATATAAATAAACTGAATTAAATTGAATCAGGGTCATCGGGTTGGTGGAGCGCCCTCTATTGGCCAGCCGCCACTGCTTAGAAAAGTCAAACAGAGAGCAGGAAGAAGTCAGCTAGAAAGAAAAGAAGATGGAGGGAAGAAGACTGAATGACCAGATAGCTGATAAACACTATGGAATGATTGATTTTTGTTAATTTTAGGAAATAGGAAAAGCTTATTGCTGGATTTTAAACTTGTCCAAATGTTAATAAATATGTAACATTGGATGAAAGCATCACTGACCCAGTTACCTATTTTAATTTTGATGAATATCTTTTTATCAATGAGGTGGAAATATCCCCAGATTGGAATTCAGGAATCCTGTCCCTTTAATAAAGAGAGCCGAACTTTGGGTCAGGAAACAGGAAGGAGGTGAAACGGTTCTCACAGAACAAACCCGTCCACCATGAGGTGGGTCTGAACCAGCACTCTGAAATAACCATGGCGGCCTCACCGTCAGACTAAGAACACCGCAGCATGTTTCAGAGGAAGCTAACCCAGGTGTTTCAGAGGAAGCTAACCCAGGTGTTTCAGAGGAAGCAAACCCAGGTGTTTCAGGGCGGGTTGTTAGCTGGACTCACCAGCTGCTGGCCCTGAACGCCCCAAGAGGCAAACTGGAGGACAGAGTTGGACACCTCCGGAGGATTCAGCTCCTGCACTTCTCTGAGACAGGAAAGGAAGCAGACATGAAGCATTTCCCCACAGGAAGACGTCCGATGCTAACAGGAGGTCGGTGTTACCTGGTGAACAGGTTGTAGATCAGATACGAAGCCAGAAAGGAATGCTTGAAGACCTGAAACCCAAACAGAGAACCATCAGCAAAGGCCTGCAGCTCCAGTCTGAGGAGGACTCCACGCTGTCGGCCATGTTGCTTTCCCACCATCTCCATTACTTTGGGTTCAGGTTCTGGTCTGTGAGTTCCTGGTGTTTGGAACAAGCCTTTTTTCATCCATCAGTTGGCTTTTCCTCATCACTCTGCTCTGATCATCAAGCCTTCCAGTTTCACAGAAACACGGCTGTTTTTGTCCATTGGAGGGGAGGGGTCCCCACTCAGGGGCGGTACAGCCTGGTTGATTGATTGATTGACTTTATTGATCTCAGTTCGTTGGATCCAGAACCATCGCTGCCGATAAACATGAGTTATGTCCTTCCTTCACTGCTGATTGTTTCTAATCTAACCTAAACCTAATCTCCATTAATCTCTATTAATTTCCAGTCAAGATGGACCAAGACTCAGGATGAGCTGCCAGATTAAACTGGTGCAAACACTAGATGGGGACACTGTGCCCTCAGCGCCGCCTACAGGTAGCCTAGCAGCTTGGAAACAAAGGTCTGATATGAAGGAGGTTCTGACACTCACCTGTTGGACGTCATATCCCAGAAGAACAAAGTTCATATCGGGAGAAACAGCAAACTTTGTTGCCTTAAATGTCACCTGTGGAGAAAACAGGAAATGAAGCTGAGCCAGGGGCCTTATAAAGAGAATCAGAGGCTAGTAAAGGCTGCTTCTGGCCACCAGACCTCCATGCTGACAGCATAGGATTATTATTCTGACTAAAACATCCGTCTCACTCACGAAGGTGGTGTTTTTTATCAGGAGTTCGGTCTGGTTGCTGTAGATGTTGACTTTAAAAACATCTCCTTCCCAACTTCGGAAGAGGATTTCATCCGCTGTAAAGTTTAAGAAATAAAGTCAACACTTTAACTCCTGTCACTGTGTGTCACAGGACAGGTTTAAAAATAAAACCCAGACTAGTCCTGGACTCTATAGCGGCCGATGGGGAAGGCGGCCATAGAAGAAGGTTTATATTTGGGTGGCAGCATTAGTTTCAATCAGAGCAGAACCTTCATGGCTCCTTTAATCTTTCTAGTAACACGTGTGACAATGAAGTGGGGGGGGGAGGGGGGGATTTCAGATTTCAGGTTTTAAAAACCTACAATGCAGCCATTGGGTCAATTCCTTCCCGCTATCATCGCACCCCCCCACCACTTCACAGGGAACAGAAGACCTCGCCTGTTCAGCCAGGCCAACTATTCCTTTTAACGACCCCCCCCAGAGACTGTTTATTTTTATTTTATTTTTTGCATTTGTCCGGTTGGGGTTTGAACTCCTCCCTCTCCCAGAACATCTCAAGGTCCATTCCCCCCGTCCTGCCCTCCCTCCACTGGCTGGCGCCTGGGCTCGCTGGTGTTCAGTGTTTGGGGGTGGATGCCTGGGGGGGCTACTGGCTTATTCCTGGTGGCTGCTCCGTGGAGCCTGGTCTCCCGCAGGGGGGTGGGCCACCCCTGGGGCCTCGGGTTCTATGGCCGGATCCCCTCTGGGGTGATTGGGTGCAGGTGGAACCTGCAGATTCGTTTCAGCGGCTCCTGGGGGCGCCGGCATGGCGGTTGCTGGTGGATTTCTTCACGGTCATCTCTCCTCCTCCCTTGGTGGGGGTCGGATTTTGCTGGGTTGGCCCCTCCTGGGCGTGTTCTCTTGGGATCCCCCTGGATGTCTAGGGCTGTGGGCCCCTCGTCGCTGTCCTCGGTGCTCTGGGGGGCGTGTCTTTGGCTCTTCACGACCACTATTGAGCATTTTCTCTTTGGATAAACTTTAAATGCACAAGTTCACCCTCACAATCAACTACCGGTTCTTGGTTCCAGGTTCTCAGAGATTCACTTCCACACAGAAAGCCCATATTCTGATCTTCAGGTTACAAAGAGTACATGTCAGATTAAATAATACTACTTATACTTTAGCTATAATATTAAGGTGTTACTTTATTGAATCTCTTATATCTGTTGGTTGTTCGATTCTTTTTAAATCTCTTTGCAGGTGATGAAGCAGAATGAAGATTTTATCGCTCCTCTTTCTTTTATCTTTTCTCCTTATTCCTGTTTTTTCTTTCCTGTTCTACTTCCATTGCAGTGTCCATATATTCTGTAAAACTCTCTGCATGAATTATAATAAAGCTATTTATATGCATAAATCCAGCGGAACACTATGGTGATAGCCGTACTGCTCCACTGGTGAAAGTAAAATCTGTTGGGCTCTTTTTGGCATCAAGACAATTATTCTTATCGCCACATTGCCAGACAGGACACTGTTAAAAAATGAGAATAAAAAATGGACAGCTGAAGAAATTGTATCCTTCTTTAGAAAGTTTATTTTCTGCCGTTCTGTTTCTCTGTGTTTGTTAGGAATCCAGTTTCTGTGGCCTGTTTTCGTGTTTTTGTTTTTCACCACCAGGAGGTGCCCTGTCTTCGCTGTCCCTCCCTGCACTCCTGCGGCTCGTTGGACCATTATCCAGAGGAGTATTTGAGCAGTGGACTGTCACTACCTCGAGTGTTTGCCAGGTTTGGGTACTCTAGCCAAGCGGAGTTAGCTGAGTCTGATCTAGCTTTGTTTCTCTGAGTCTAACTTGTTTTAGTCTTTGCTCCTCGGCAGGAAGCTTTCCTGTGTTACGGGATACCTGGACCTTCCCTCCCCTGGAAGGAAAAAAAACGTCACACTGAGCAGGGGAAAACCTCCACATGTTCCGTTCAAGTTCCCATCAGAAATCCAAGTGACAGTCCGCTCCATTATTCCTCCGGGTCCTACGCTAGTCTAACCTGTCCGCCCTCCAACGTGTGCTACAGTAACCCAGGATTCACCACACAGTCTGGATTCAAGGACTAACAAGGCCCCCCTCAACGTGAGTTCCAAACCACGCTAAATATCTGAGCTACCAACATTCCCACAGAACCTGAACTCACCATTGTACTTCCCTTCTCACTTCCAGTTCCAGGTCACCAGCTCACTGAGTTCCAGATCCGTACCTGTTACTCCTTCAATAAACCTGTGAAAGTTTTTCCTCTGAGTGGTTTCTCTGCATGTGGGTCACTGATCATGATGTTGTTGTAGTTCCAGTTGGAGTCCTTGATATAAAACCTGAGAGGAAACATCTGGAAGCTGCTGGACGTCTGAGGCCCATGAAGATGTTTATTGTTGCAGAGACAGACTGACGGGTAAAGGTTGAACAACATACCAGCTGATTTTTAGCCACCAGTTCTTTCTGCTGTTGCTCCACTTTAGTTCAGCTTCCTGCATCACTGAACCTGCTGGACTTTGGGTCATTGGTAACTCTCAGCTAACAAGGTTCTGATGAGCAAGGTGGGATCTGAGCCTTAGTGTTTGGAGCCAGTGGTTGGCCATGGGACGGTTCTGCTGGTTCTGGTTTGTCTCCTTCTGTCCTGCTTACCTGTTTCTGCATTAATATTGACTTTATGGATCTGATGATTTTTATTTCTTGCCTTTAAATTCTGCTCAGATGTTTGACACAGAAGGTCAAAGGTCATTGGACCCCAGTTACTGTTCTCTGGACTGACCCATTGCTGACTCATTTTATCGGACACTGTCACCAAGGCAACGGGCCCACAGCATCACATCCTGTGGCATCAGGATCTGTTACAGGTTTGTTTGTTTACTTTATCATTCCCATATACCAAAGCTTTATAAGACTGCAGAAGGAAACATTCTAGATTCTCCTGTCATTTTCTAAATGAGCTTTGGATACTTGCTCAGATGTGTCCTAATAGAACTGGGACCGACCTGACTGAGGCTACGCTTCAGATTTCAGCAAAGGAAAACAATAACTGCTCTGTTCTAATCCCAAACCAAGCTCCCAGTCCACAGAGGCCTAAACTCCATTAATTCATCTGACAGATCTGAATCAGTTCAAACTCCCCGTCTTCTGAGGATGTCAGAGAAGAGGCTGTGAGGCATCAGTCTGAGCCAGGAGGCACGCACGCCCAGCAAACACTCCAAGCACTTCAGAGGATAATGACAGGGAAGTAAACATGAAAGACAGATGGATGGTGGCGTTCATATCCTCCAAAGAGCTCCTGACATGTAAATCTAAGCTGTATTTCCTCAGATTTTATATTCATGCCAGAAAAACTGAAGGATTGTTTCTCTAAACATTCAGTCAGAGAACCGACTGGATGTTTAGAGAAACAAACATCCTGAAAACCTTCACTGTTTGTTGATCCTAGTTAAGGAGTGAATGTCCTGATCTGCCCTGATGGCTGGACTTCATTCTTCACATCTTTCACCTGCTTTATTCTGCCCGGCTCCTAATATCAGTGATTCCATCCACCTGCATGTTCTGCTTTATATCAGGCTCAGCCCAGCTATCGGGGCCAGATCATTGTTTGTCTCATGCCAGTATGTTACTTTAGTCTACCTGAGAAGGAGTCCTATCCAGCCTGGTTGGCTGTGGGACTCCTGAGGCAGCCAGTTCAGTTAATTATATCATCAGTTCATTCAGTAATGAAACAGTTAAACATGCAGCTAATGCTGAGATGCTTGAAGTTTTTAAAACAATCATTTCCATGAATCAACCAAACAAACTTTACTGCAGAGCGTTAATTGTCCCTACAGGACACAGTTGATGCGTTTTTTTCCCATGGACCTCTCTGGGAGGACTTACTGCTCATCCACGTTGCCTCTGGATCATGGATTTGAAAGTTCCTCTGAAAAAGGTCGTCCAGAGTCAGCGGCGAGCCGCACAGGTTCCCTGAACCATCTGAGGACAGAAAGCAAACAGAAGGTTAGCTGGTCTGTCCTGAAACTAGAGCTTCATTCTTCTATGCAAACCGTTCAGAATAAGTTTAATTATGAATAAAATGACTTGTTGGAACTTAGACCACCGCAGGGTTGTTAAATATCACAGATATAGTTTTTCCAACTCATACTGTGATGCTAAAAGCCAAACGCTTTAATATCCATCCAATAGCTTCAATAGTTGAAGCAACACGTCCATTTTATTAGAATTCTATTCTGGTTATTGTCATGATGGGTTTCAGATATTTTGCCCACATGCAGATACACCTCGGGGGGGAGTTGAACAGTTTGAGATAATGACACTAAGAGGGACATAAACCAAGGATTCTCTGGGGAATATCCAGCGCTCAGGTGAACCTGAAACTCTAGAGGGAGATCAGAGTGTTTGCTGCTGAGTAAAGACGACGCTAATTGATGCTAAAGAATGGACTGCATGCTACGCTATGCTACGCTATGCTACAGGAATATGTGTTGAGCTGTTGCTAAAGCTTAGACAAGCTTTATTCACTAAGGATTTAAACACTGATGTAACATTAGTGTTCATGTGTTCCTCAGATGCTCGTTACATTTCCATTACCAAGTCTGACCAAGAGTCATTTAGTGGAATCCTGATGTTTATTCGCTGCTAGCTATTTAAAAGAGGGTAAAGAATCATTTAACTAAAGGTTATTGGTTCT